GTTGGTCTGAATTTTCTCTGGGTTGTTGGACTGAAATTTGAGAAGCTGATGCATACTTACCTTGATTGAATTACCCATGAGATTTGTGATGATTTGCCGAAATCTACCTGGATCTCCATAATACTGAAATTCTTGAATTGGGAAAATTCAGTTTAAAAACCAAAGAATTTCTCTGGATCAACCCTAAGAAACTTCAGTAAAACCAAAGAATTTCTCTGAACCAACCTAGAGAAAATTCAGTTAAAAAATCAAAGAATTTCTTTGGTTTCAACCTAGTGGAAATTCAGTTAAAAAACCAAAGAAAATTCAGTTGAAATCACCTCATCATGCAGAGACAATGATTCGTTTGCTCGTCCATGCTGGGCCATCCCAACTATAATTGAAGTCCAAGAAACTGTATCTCTTCGGCACATAGTATCAAAAATTGTCTTTGCTGCTAGTATGTCACTACATTTAGCATACATATCAACAAGTGCATTACTAACAAATAAACTAGATTCATAACCAAGAGATAAAACTAAGCAATGAATCTGTTTTCCAAGCTCCAATGCTGCTAAATTAGCTGAGGCTCCAACAATGCTTGAAAGAATAAAAGGGACTAGAATATCAACCCCTGCTCTCCTCATTTCAATGAAGAGATTAAACCCATCAATCCATTGTCCACTCTGTACCAACCCAGATATCAAAGTCGTCCAAGAAAACAAATTCTTCTCCGCCATACCACGCAAGAGTTCAACAGCTTCCGATTTTCATCCACTTCGGGCATACCCAGAAATCATAGCTGTCGAAGAAACTAAATTCTCCGCCAAACCAGAGAATTTCTCTGGATCAACCCAGAGAAAATTCAGTTCAAATCATAGAATTTCTCTGGACCAATCCAGAGAAAATTCACTTTAAGCCAGAAAATTTCTCCGGATCAACCCAGAGAAATTTCAGTTCAAACTAGAGAATTTCTCTGGTTTTAACCCAGAGAAAATTCAGTTCAGGTGATCGTGATTTACCATTTCATTCTGATAATGGATCATCTGAATCAGTTTTTCACTGCCACTGCAAACCTGCCATTCCTTTGGTTCTTCATGTGAGGATTGAGCCTTAAAAGCTTCAAATACTTCTGGACCACATCCTTGGCAAAACGCTTCGACGAACCGTTCTCAGAGCTCTGCTTCCGTGAATTGCTTCTCGAACTGTTCACTCTCGCAAGCACTGAGAAAATTGAAACTTCCTCAACCTTACATTTCTCAGCGAAACGCTTGCTCTGCTGGTGAGTCGCCGGCGACGCATCGGCGGACTCGATTTTCTCCAATTTCGGCTTCTTAAACAGCATAAACACACAAAACTTCGGCGGAGATCTCGGGAACGAAATCGGAGACAAAGGCTTGGTTCCTTTAAAAAACACATCGTTAGGAGATTCAACGAAATCGGACTCGATCACGCCGTCCTTTTATAGCCAAATCATTGTACGAATCTTCGTCAGTGTCCGAACCATCGTCCTTGTCTTTCTTTTCGTCAGAACCTGGCACATCAAATTCCAAATCGAAGAAAGTCTCTTCTTCCTCATCGGATTCAACCGGCTGACGGTGGTAGAGCGGAGGGAGGAGTCGGAGGAGAAGGTGTTGAGGAAGATGTCGTAGAGGATGGTGGAGAGAAAGGTGGAGGAGCAGAGAAGAGAGAGAGAGGAGAGACAAATTTCTCTGATATATGTTTAGGGACCTTAGACATCAGAAAATAATTTTGTGGATCTCTTCCATTATGAAAAGTGGGAGAGGGACCCTACACTAATTTTTCCTAAAAATAATGTGAACATTCTCTCTCATCTTATGTGAATATATTTTTAATTGACAACACATTAAAAATAATGTGAATATTCTCTCTCATCGGATGTGAACGTTCACAACATCTTTCCGAAAAAATCTTTCTCATCTAATGAATGTTCACAACATGTGAACCTTCTTATTTTTAATTGACAACACATTCTTATTCACAACATGTAGTGAGGTGAACATTCACAACATATGAATATTCTCTCTCATCTAAAATAGTGATGTGAACGTTCACATTCGTATGTTTTTATATGAATATTCATATCATGTAATCAACAACACAATGACAAAAATTCATTTCAAATTAATATGAATATAATGATGTGAATATTCATTTCAATTGCATGATGTGAATATTCACATCATGTAATTGACAACACAATGACAAAAATTTATTTCAAATTAATATGAATATAATGATAGTCAACATCTTGATGCATGAAAACTACCAAAACATAATGACAATTAACATTAAATATCAACATTAATAGGGGGTAGGAGAGATTGATGGTGTTTTGGTCTTCTTACCTCAAATAGGACCTAATGGAATAGTCAAAAACAATATAGATTGGATGGAATAAAACTCTTAGAAAGAGAATTTATCAAAAAAGTTTTCTTAAATTTTACCTACCTATTAACCCATTAAATAATGGGTAGGTGGATAAATTCTAAACCATTGAATAAAAAGAGAGAGGCTTCTCTCTAGACTAGAGCATATTGTTGAGCTCGTGGAACCCACTATGGGTCTCGTCGATAATTCGAAGATAATTCGAATCGTCAATGTATATAGCTCGTCGAATATTTCATGCTTAGAAAAAATCACAATAATTAAATATCGATAACCCCTTGATCGGAACACATTTTTGTTAACAATTTATTTTTAAAATAATATTTACCATTAAGAAAAATGTGAAGGGTTCAAATCATTGAAATGTGACCCGTAGAAGGCCCCAAAGGCCCAATAGTATGCTCTAACCTACACAGTGGACTGGAGAGAAGCATCTCCCAAATAAAAAAACCAAAGTGACGCACATTTCAAACCCAGGCTGGACATCCAGCTCGGTTTTTAACAGCAAATTAATGATTTAGGGGAGAGAGGATCAGTAAAGAATTTAATCCCTTGCTGGAGACTTGCATCGCTTTGGCAACCATGCAATTCTGTCTCTCCTTTAGAGGGAGGGAAAGAAAAATTAACAATCACAAAATCCCAAACTTCACCCACAATTCTATGGTCATTATCCAGTTACTTCTCAGGAATATCAGTCAACTAAAAATACAAAAACGAATAACATACTACACAAAGTACAAGCATCACAACTAGAGAAATTTCCCCTAATGCACACTGCACAACCTCACTTACTATTTACAAATACTAATAAATCAACACAATTCTATCAAATTTAGATTTCCAGTAGAAGCGATCAACATATTCTGCAATAAAATCAGGATTTCCTCAAGCCTAATTTGGGCTGAAGGAAGATTTTCAGAGATCCAAACACACAATAGAAAGTCATCTTTAATTTGTCTTTTATGATGCAGTATAACTGGCAAGAAAATCAAGAAGTGGAAGGTGGTTCTCACATATAACAACAACAAAACCATGCTCTTATCAAGAAAGCATAACCATCATTATTACAACCCTAATTCTTAAAGTTACATTGCCTTGGAAAATTATACTACACAAAACTGAGACTGACATTATATTTTCAAGAAACCTAAAACTGCCACCGACAGATCCTACAAGACATATATACAATCTGCTAACAGACCCAGATCATTAAAACAGGTACAAAACATTGCCATTCAGCCTTTGGATATTTATATCATTTAAGGCATGAAAATCAGAGATGGTTTCCTTCATCTGGCAATACTCTCCGATTCTGCAATTGTAGCGGCATTTCTATATCCTTGAACTAGTGGATTTCGGAGCATGCCGTGAGAGCACTATCAGACTTCTCTTCTATAATGCTGAAGAGAGTCATGAGCTTCATTAATATATTTCAAAGAGGTATGTGAGTGGGGTTGCTTAGTGCGGCAACAGCGATATGAACCTTCAAGAGGGGAATCAAAAATTTTGACAGGGTGAAAGAATTATAAGGCATTATGCACAAGATACATAAATGGAAATTATAAATCAACAATAGGCATTCGAACAAGGCGATAATTGCCTCACCCACTACTGGGAAGAGTATACTTCTAAATGGTTTATTCATCGATCTTTTTATTTTTATTTTTTTTCTTCCATTTAACAATGACAATCTTATCTATGATGTAAAGCCTCTCAAGCTTTGTATAAATCTCATAGAGCATAAAGACCAACCATTATTGTAATTTCTAACCAATTTAGCATACTACAACAGTTGTGCCTCTTCCAACAAAACCACATTCAGAGATATTTAATCATCTACACTACTAATACCATAAATTCTCCTTCAGAGAACTAGTTGATGACCACATACCTAAGAAAGAAATCTCCAAAAGTACCACTGGAGGTCATTTGTCCTAAATCCCTAAGAAATGACCACTTGTACATAATTCAGGGGACTGAAAAAGAATCTATTTGAATTTGTAACATGTGAATTAAAATACTGCAGAGAGAGAGGTAACAAATAGTCTACAAGAATCTACAACATGTGAAAATAATGTTACAAAGTCATGTAGCAACAAGTCCAAACTTATTGATGGAGAAGTATGAGCCCATGCCAATATATAACAAAAGAACAAAAAAAGAAAAAAAGAAAAAAAAAGAAAAAAAAGGGAGCTTCACCTAATAATATATATTATATTATGTACGTAGCTTTACCTTCATAGCTGAAGCACTTTACTCAATCTCTTGCATTTCCATGACTATCTTTGGGCATGAACTTCTTTATCAATTCTTGGAGAGCAGGATCTTGTCCTTTAGTTGAGAGTATATCTATGATCAAGGAAGAATTGGATGCATCTGCTGAAAAACCCCTTTGAACCATTTCCTCAACCAGTATTAATGCCTCATAGCACTTGTGTTGTCCAATAAATCCTCGGATAATAGTGTTGTAAGTGACATCATTTGGCAAACATCCATTATGTCCCATTTTAACAAACAACTCTTTAGCTTCAAGCAGTAGGCCTTTTTCACAAAAACCTTGTATCATTGTAGTGTATGTCTTAACATCAGGTTGTAATCCCTTGGAAGAAAGGTTACTGAAAAGGGCCCTTGCAGTATCAAGCTTTTTATCCTTGCATAATGCATCAATAAGAATATTGTACTTAACAATATCAGGATGTAAATTGTTGCTTTCCATCATGTGGAATAATGACAATGCTTCAGAAATATGCCCATTTTTGCACAACCCATCCAATAAGATACCATAAGTTACAGAATTAGGAATTATGCCTGCAGCTTGCATATCATTAAAAAGTTTTTGAGCAACTCCACATCTACCTGTTTGAAACAAACCTTGTAACATAGCACCGAAAGTTCCATTGTCGGGTTTCAACCCCCTTCGAGGCAATTCTCGAAAGAGATGCATGGCCTCAACTATTTTCATTTTCTTGCAATATCCATTGATTAGAATGTTATAGCTAAAAACATTGGGGTGAAGGCCCCTTTCCACCATGTTATTCAACACTCTGATTGCTTCATCCATTTGGCCTTGGAAACAATATCCATCCATTAGAGTATTGTATGTGACTACATTAGGATCCACACCTCTTTGTATCATGACTTGAATTACCCCCTCTGCCTCTTTCATCTTCCCTTCCTTGGTACATGCATCCAGCAACACATTATACGTATGAACATTTGGTGCAATACCACTATCCAACATTTCTCTGAACATTCCAGTAGCCTCCTTCCACCGGCCAAAATTACATAGGCCATGAATCAAAGAAGTATAAGTGACAACATCTGGGAAAATACCCTTTTCATCCATTTTAGAAAAAAGTTTGAGAGCATCATCCACCATTCTATCCTTGCAAAGACTGTCAATGATCGTGGTATACACTATGGTGTCAGGTTTACAACTTTCCTCTTCCATAATCCTAAGCAAACTAACAGCCCTGATAGTGTTCCCCGTTCTGCAGAGCCCATTGACAATGGTTCCATACATAACCACGTTGGGTTCAATTTCTCTACTTCTCATTAATTTCTTAAACAACTCCACAGCTTGAGGAGTTTTATCTTGCAAAATAAGTCCATTAATCAGAGTTGTGAAGGTAATTACATTGGGTGTATAGCCGCGTTTGAAGTGGGTACCCAGAAGAGACATCCCAAAATCTACTCGATTAAGGTGGCAGTAACAGTTAATGGCAATGTTGAAGGTGTAGATATCGACCTGAATGCCTTGGAGCTGTTGCAACTTGTTATGAATAAGAGAAAGCGCAGTGGCGTAATGACCCATTTTCAAAATAGGGCCTAAAGCTTTGTTGAATTGAGAAATTGGGGGCAAAGGTCGCATTCGGAGCATGCGATTGAAGGAAATTAAAGCAGAATGAAGATGATTGGGACCCAAATTGCATGGTTGTTTGGGTATGGCTTCAGGTTTAGGTTCGCGTCCTTGAGGAGGAGAAGTAGGGTTTTTGGTGGTGTTAGAGAGAGAACGAAACAGAACAAATAAGAAACAAGAGGGTTGATTAACTATAACAAGTAGAGATAGAGATGGAGATGGAGATTTGGAAGTACCTTTTAATAGCCAATTATTGTAGTAAGCTATTCTTGGTCCAATAATGGAAGAAATAGAAATTCTTCCCCTTCTGCTTGGCATCTTCTTCAAGCTCAGCTCTGTGCGTGCGAGGGGAGTGAGAGAGAGAGAGAGAGAGAGAGAGAGAGAGTAGATACTGAACTGTGTAGCAAATGAATTCTTGCTTCCTCTGGTTTTGGTTTGATTTATAGAAAAAAAAAATGCTTTGAGCTGAAGTCTTGTAGCTCAAAAATCAGCTCTAATCAGTTGGTAGTAAGTGTTATTAATTGAATTGTGATATTTTTTTTTTTTCATGTCATTTGTGTTCTATTACATCATCAAAATTTAGTATTCTAAATTATAAAATTAGTATTCTAAATCATTGTTATTTATAGAATTGGTTTTCTAAGATTTTTTTGTAAGATTATAAATTAATTTGATAAAAATAAAGAAAAATTGATCTATAAATCTTATCTTGAGGAATATTGATCTGATTAGTTTTAAGAGTTTTTTAATAAATCAATTAGTCCTATTAATTTTAAAAAGATAAATTTAATACATTATTTGAAAATTAGATTTACGATTATAATTTTATTTCTATTATGTTTTATTTTCTTTTTCTTTTTTTTTTTTGGTGTTAGAAAGGTAAGATACCTAATTTATGAGAATCAAATTTGAGATGAATTTTTATATGAGATTCTTTTTTATTTGGAATGACTTGAAATGAAAGATTTTTCAAACATTTCAAAGGAATACAAAAATAACTTGAAATAGGAGATTCTTCAAACATTTAAAAGGATGCGAGATTCTTCAAATATTTCAAAAATGTACAAAAACTCCTTAATAAGGTTTGAACAAATGTATAATTTCAATATGTAATACTCCAATGTAATACTTTCAAAAAACTTCTTAATATAGTACATTTTTTAAAGGCAGTGGCTTTGGTCCAGTCCAAGATCGGACTGGACCGTGCTGTTGGGCCCGTGGGGGCCCACCACGGGTCCTATTTTAATAATCCGAATCGTTCAATGTGTAGAACTCGTCGAGTACTATATGCCTGTAAAAAATCACGTTGATCGGATATCGATAGCTATGTGAACGAAACAGTTTTTTATCAACCGTTAATTGTTTCACCGTCCATTTTTTTTTATACAAAACTGATTTGATCACATAACTATTGATATCCGATCAACGTGATTTTTTACAAGCATATAGTACTCGACGAGTTCTACACATTAAATGATTCGGATTATCAAAATGGGCCCAAAAATTGGGCCCCATGGGCCGAACTAGATGGGTCCAGTCTTGATCTCAACTTGAGACAAGCTGGACCCTTTTTTAAATGTAATACTCTAATGTAACACTCCAAAAAAACTCATTGGTGTAACACTCCAATGTAACACACACACACAAAAAAAATTTAGTATATATTTTTTAAATGTAATACTCCAGTGTAACATTCTAAAAAAAAGATATGAGATTCTTCAAACTATTCGAAAAGGGTGTGAGATTTTTCAAACCATTCCAAAAGGAGTACAAAAATTTCTTAATAAGCTTTGGATAAATGTATAATTTCAAACTAAGAGTGTTACGTTTAAAAAAAAAATACACTAATTAGTTTTTTTAGTGTTTTTATGTGTGTTATATTGGAGTGTTACATTTGAGATTACATTGATGAGAGTATTATGTTTGGGAAAAGTACATTAAGGAGTGTTTTTAGTGTGTTACATTGGAGTATTATATTTGAGAAAAGTTTGGAGCGTTACATTGTTACGTTTCAAAAAAATACACTAAAGAATTTTTAGTGTGCTACGTTATTGGAGTGTTACATTGAAGTGTTACATGCTTATTCGTAATTTGAGATTTGTTCTAGAATGAAAGAAAATCCAAAACCTCTATAGTACCTATTGCCCATATGTGTAATTTCACATTTAGATAAACTCATTTTTATCCTTCAAAAATTAAACCCAAACGTGTAAGTGACTATCTTTTGTGTAATTTCCAGTTCAATGAGATCTTTGGGTTCATGAGAAAAAAAAAAGAAAAAAAAGGAGAAGAGAATAACCAATTTTGTATGGATTATATTTGAGGAATACTTATTTTTTATATATATAAAATTGTAATTTAATTATTATGATATTTGGAAAAAAAAATTAGCTCCACATACAAATAAATCTATATAATAAAGCAGGACTATTTTTGAAAATGTGCCAAAATGTCTAAGAGATACATTTTGTATCAATGGCAGAGATTAATTCCCAAATTTTTCTCAATGTCAATATTTCTTTAATTCTCACCCACCCACATTCTTTTCCTCCTTTTTTGTTCACTCATGCATTCTCTCTCTCCTGCCCACTTTCCTCCCTCTTTCCTTTTTTATTAATTTTTTTATTTTTCTTCTTTTTTTTTTATTTTCATCCATATTTTTTTATTTTCTCATTTTCCCCCCTTATTTTATTTACATCATGCCTTCAGCTACACGCATACACTATTAAATAAAAAAGACAGAATGTGCATAATTATGTACATCACATGGATCAAATTAATTTTTTTTTTTTTGTATTTTTTAATTTTTGTCTATCTTATTGGTATCTTAGTATTAATTTATATTTAATTTTTTATTTAACATGAAATTATTTATATTTAATTTAAATTTTATATACATAAATACAATATCTATAAATAATTCAAAAAGAATATTAAAGAAAAAATCAAAGTGGTGGCTAAGACGCAGAAGAGGCGACTAGAGTGGGAAGTTGTTGCCGTTATTGGGTCATGAAAGCGGGACGAAGTTAGAGATGAGTCGCCGATGTTGTAAATGGTGAGGAAAAGTGTGTCAGAGTTGATAGTGACTTGTTTGGTACAATGGGGGTGAGAGTAGGATTGGGGTTAGCGTTAGGATTTGGATATGTTTTTCGGAGGTTAGAGATGATAGAAATAAAATTAAAATTTTGTATTGGATTAAAATTGTAATAAAAAAATGAAAGAAATTGGAGTCTAAAATGAAAAAATAAGGTGATAATAGTAGCACCCTTTGTAAATTAGTTATTTAAATTTTACTTACCTATCAACCCATTAAACAATAGATCAAATTGAGTTTGTAAGTGGGTGAATAAATTCTAAGTCATTGAATAAAAATACCAAAGTGGCACACATTTGAAACCCGGACTAGACATCCAGTTCAGTTCCTAATAGCAAATTCATGATTTATGGGGGAATAGTAAAGAATTTAATCCCTTGCTAGAGACTTGCATAGCTTTGGCCACCATGCAATTCTATCTCTCCTTTAGATAGAGAGAGAGAGAGAGAGAGAGAGAAGGGGGGAAGAAAAATTAACAATCACAAAATCCCAAGCTTCATCTGCAATTCTATGGCCATTATCCTATTACTTCTTAGGAATATCAGTCAACTAGAACTACAAAAATGAATTACATATTACACAAAGTACAAACATCACAACTGGAGAAATTTCCCCTAGTGCACACTGCACAATCTCACTTACTATCAACAAATACTAATAAATCAGCACAATTCTATCAAATTTAGATCTCCAGTAGAAGCGATCAACATACTTTGCAATAAAACCCGGATTTCCTAAAGTCTAATTTGGGCTAAAGGGAGATTTTTAGAGATCCAAACACACAATAGAAAGTCATCATTAATTTGTCTTTTATGATGCAGTATAACCAGCAAGAAAATCAAGAAGTCGAAGGTGGCTCTCACATATAACAATAACAACAACAACAACAACAACAACAAAACCATGCTCTTAAAGATCAAGAAAGCATAACCATCATTATTACAACCCCAATTCTTAAAGCTACGTTGCCTTGGCAAATTATACTACACAAAACTGAGACTGACATTATATTTTCAAGAAAGCTAAAATTGCCACCAACAGATCCTACGAGACATACATACAATCTGCTAACAGACCCAGATCAGTAAAACAGGTACAAAACATTGCCATTCAGCCCAGGGATATTTATATCATTTAATGCATGACAATCAGAGGATGTTATCCTTTCATCTGGCAATGCTCTCTGATTCTACAGCTGTAGCGACATTTCCATATCCTTGAACTAGTGAATTTCAGAGCATGCCGCGAGAGCACTGTCAGATTTCTCATCTATAATGCTGATGAAGAAACACAGATATTCAAGTCAGATGTCAACCCAGTAACCACAAATTGGAGATCTTGCTTGTTGAGGGGACTAAAGAAAGATACATACTACATGGTAGCTTATAAGTAGTGCTCAACACTACAACACAAAAGCTCATTTTTCTTGGTTCTTCATGATATTTCCTGTAGCAATTCCTACAGTTTTGGAATTGAGATCACATGATGACAGGACCTCTCTCTGCAACAGCCAATGAAAATAACTTAAATTAAGAAATACACGGTCACAGCAAGCTAGAACTTCTTAGAAGAGTGATAAGCAAAATATTAAACATTAACAGTTTGCAAGAGTTGTCACGTGAAGCATTTCACCATATCATTGAAGCAGAAGAATACTTACAATTGGTTCAAAATCAGGGCTAAACAAGTTGATGGTGAGGTTCCTCATCAGCAACAAAGCCTCTACATAGACAGAACCCAAAAAGACAAAGATGTTCGGTTGCAAAGCAATATCCTTCCAATTGAATGACATTAATAAAATCCACATTGACCCAACTGACGTCAAAACACTTCATCATGTCACTAATAAATACAAGGAAAATCATCCATAGACAAGAAGCTTAAGGTTTCATGTTAGAGATCAAAGGGGCCACTGTGCAAGTGCGAGCAATAGAGAGTGCATGCGTACCTGCCATTGCTAAGAATCATTTGCCTGTTTGGTTTTTAAATTAAAAAAACTATTTTTTGAGTCTTTTGCTTTTTGTATTTTTGTCTTTTATAATTTTTAAAATATTTTCATCAATTTTTTTAACTTATTAGATACGCTTAATCTAGATGCACCTAAAAGTAAAATATTTTTAAAAAAAGTTAATTGAAGATCGAAAAAAAAAACTACCACATTTTTGCTTCTTTTTTTTTTTTCTTTCCTTTTTTAGGTTAATTAGATTTTACCTCCTTGTAGTTTATCCAAAAAACACATTAGCTCCTTGAAGTTTAAAAATATACACTTAACCTCCTTATGGTCTAAGGTAAAATGCAAAGCTAAACTCTGTTAAAGAAATTTTACAAAATGTCTATACTGCCCCTTTTTTTTCCTCCAATTTTCTTATAAATGCCAGCATCACTACAAACTCTTTCTCTCTAAAAATTGTACGGCATCACAAACCCTTTCCAAAGCCAAATCCATTACCAATTGCACTTACCAAACCCACACCTATCTTGTTCTTTCCCTTATGAAATAATCCATATAGACGCTTGTGGCATTTCCATAAACTTCTCCAAATGGTACAATTTTGGATTTGATGGTTTTGGGTTTCAATAGATGACTTAAAATAATAAACCAAGAAAAAATTTGAATATCTAACTTCACAAATAAACAACAGCTGCCGGACTGAAAGACGCTCCAGTGTGATTAGTTAACATTCTAAAAAAAATTATTAAAAAAAAAAAGCTCTTAGCTTTTATCTGCATTGTCAAAGAGGAAGTTATCTTCACAAGTGTGTGAAGGTACATGTGCAATTGAAAAAAGTATTGGCTCCTTTGGGTTACTTGATTGAGAAAGGTGGGAGTTGTGTGTAAGTGCCTCTGTACACGTGTGTAATGACAAGGAAAAATGGTGGTTTCAGCAATGGTGGGCTTGGGTTGTCGGAGGAAGTGAGGGAGACAAGGAGATGAAAGAGAGGGGATGGAGTGTGAACTGTGCAATGGTGAAGGGGAGGAGGTGGAATGAACAAGAAAATGAAGAAAAGAAGGGAAAATAAAAGGGCAAAAGACTCGTATATCACTCATGTCCTGTCACATGCACTTAATTAGTGGATGTTACACAAACAGTTAAGTTTGACAGAATTCGTTACTTTTGCATTTTACTCTGAACTGCAAGGAGGCTATATGTATATTTCAAAAACCATAGGGAGGTAATGGGTTTCCAAGCAACCACAAGGGCATACATATCACACCCTTATTCAACCTCCCCTTAATGAAATGTCTGTCACTAATTACTCCAAATTTGATAATAAATCAAGTATTAAACACACATCCTATGAGTAAGAGGCATCATCTACTTGAAAAATAGACAATCTGAGACAGGCAAAATTTGAATTTGAAAAAATTTGAATATCTAACTTCACAAATAAACAACAGCTGCTGGACTGAAAGACGCTCCAGTGTGATTAGTTAACATTCTAAAAAAAATTATTAAAAAAAAAAGCTCTTAGCTTTTATCTACATTGTCAAAGAGGAAGTTATCTTCACAAGTGTGTGAAGGTACATG